TCCCGGACAAATAAGGATTTTTCAAACTCTGCTGCTCTGTGTTTCACGGAAACCTGGCTGAAAGACGCCATTCCGGACAGCGCGTTGAGTCTGCCGTGCTTTCAGCTGTTCAGAGCAGATCGCGACGCAGAATCAACGGGGAAATCGCGCGGCGGCGGGACATGTTTTACATCAATGAGAGGTGGTGTACAGATGTAACTGTGTTAAAGAAGATGTGCTGTTCAGATCTAGAAGTGCTCTTCATTAACTGCAAGCCGTTCTATTCGCCGCGGGAGTTTTGCTCCGTAAGTGTGGTAAGTGTGTACATTCCTCCGCAAGCACACGTGAGCACCGCTTTACAGAAACTCGCTGATGACACAGAACACACAGAACAACAACACCCGGACTCTGTTTTAATCATTCTCGGGGACTTTAATAAAGCAAATCTTTCCCGTGAACTGCCAAAATACAGACAGCACATCACATGTCCCACCAGAGACAGTAATATATTGGATCACTGTTACACCACAATAAAAAATGCATGTCACTCTGTTCCACGGGCAGCTTTGGGGCTCTCTGATCACTGTTTGGTTCATCTTATACCGACCTACAGGCAGAAACTGAAATCAGCTAAACCTGTATTAAGGACTGTAAAAAGATGGACTAATGAAGCAGAGCACAAGCTTCAAGCTTGTTTTGACCTCACTGATTGGAGTGTTTTTGAAGCTGCTGCCACCGATCTGGACCAGAGACTGTTTTAACCTACAACAATGACAAACCATGGTTCACTGCAAAACTCAGACAGCTTCGTCAGGCCAAAGAAGATGCTCACAGGAAGTGGGATAATGTCTTGTATAAACAGGCTAAATACACACTGGAAAAGGAGATCAGAGTGGCAAAGAGGAATTATTCTGAAAAAAATAAGGATTCAATTCTCTTCCAGTGACCCAGCATCAGTGTGGAAAAGTCTAAAAGAAATCACCAATTACAAGACACCATCCCCCAGCACTGTGGAGAATCAACACCTGGCAGACGATCTGAACGAGTTCTACGGCAGGTTTGAAAAAGAAAAACCTGCTGCCGCCCCATCTTCACACAGATCTTCAACAGATCACTGGAGCTGTGCGAAGTCCCTTCATGCTTCAAACGCTCCACCAATTTGCACATAATATACCTATACATACAAAACTGTCTATTGTAATATACCTGCACATACAGTTGTCAATTCATATATTTTTATTCCTTATTTACTTGTTCTATTTTTAATTTATTTTTATTTTTTATTATCTGTGTTTTTTGTTCTGTCACTGTCATTCTGTTACACTGTGGAAGCTTCTGTCACAAAAACAAATTCCTCGTATGTGTAAACATACCTGGCAATAAAGCTCATTCTGATTCTGAATCTGATTCAGACGGTCGGAACAACTCTTTGTTAGCTTCCGTAACCGCACCAAAGGGCATCCGGTTATGAAGCAAAGACTTTCTAGGTGGATAATAGACGCTATCACGCTAGCGTACTCTTCCTTGGGCCTACAATGTCCCATCGGAGTACGGGCCCATTCCACCAGAGGCATCGCCTCGTCTTGGGCGTGGTCTAGCGATGTGTCCATTGCGGAGATTTGTGAGGCGGCCGGCTGGGCCTTGCCGTCCACATTTGCTAGGTTTTATAACCTGGAAGTCCCGGCCTTACAGGCCAGGGTCCTTTCTGCTTGAAGAGAGACTCACTGCATTATGCAAACAAGTCTGACAGAGAGTCCTTGACCGCAACACGCTCAAGCTCTTTGGTTTAGTTTACCTGTCGGCTCTTGGCCCCTGGGGTGCCGAAGTTGTATGAGTACTCTGGAACGATTACCCAGGCCGGGCGTGACCTCGGGGAGTTCAGCCCGCTATAGCCTAGGAGTTATTGTTTAACTTCCCTATGGGTATTACTTGCTTATGGAGAATATAATATACAGTCATTCCTCTACCATAGCACGGCGTGATTGTACTGTGTTCCCATAGCGTCTTTAGCAAGACGCAGTACGAGAGAAGTATCGACAGGGAACGTACATGGTTACTAACGTAACCTCGGTTCCCTGAGATACGGGAACGAGTACTGCGTTGCTAGCCGTGCTATGCAGCTGCATGACTCAGTCGTTGCTTCAGTCGAAGTATCCTGAGAATCCTGTGGCAAACGCCCGCTTATATAGCCAGATTGCCCCGGCCATTGGTTCGTTTTTAATACACTGCACGAACCAATGGCCGTGCAGTTTCACTGCGTGATTGAAAAAGGCTTCAGTTCAGGAGAAAAAAGGCTTTATCCCATAGCATCTTTAGCAAGAGGCAGTACTCGTTCCTGTATCTCAGGGAACCGAGGTTACGTTAGTAACCAAGTACGTTTTGTCATGTCTATGTCGCAAGTGTATTGTAATGTTATGTATGCCACAAATGTTAGATTTGAGATAGAACTGCAGACACTGACAGCGATTTGCAGTAACAAAGCGACTTGAAATCCTGCATTTTCAGTCACTGGTTTGTGGCATCACAGCGGCCACTGGTGATGCACAAAAATTTGAACTTTATGCAACTATGCAGTGACTACCAATGACAGGCTAGTGCATTATAGGCAATTTAATTTCCAGAGTACTCAGCAAAATGCTCTGCTGCATGTCAATTGTAATAGTTGCTACTGGTTTGAACAAAAAAAAACAGATTTACATAGCTTTTATAAGTTGTTATTTTATCATATTATGCCTATTAAGGACACAGTTATTGAATTAGATTTGTTGCCTAGACTCTCAGCCATAATTACTTTTCCATACGTTTGACATTAAGTTCTTGCATCCCTTTTGAGATACTGCAAACCTTTACAGTGTACTATTCTTGGCCCAATTGCTAATGAGTGGAAACCAGGACGCTTCGGTGATGCTGGTTCTCAGCTCCCAGTTTAGACAGGGCCACAAAGGCAGATGGTGTGACTGAAGCCTACTGCTGTCTCTGTGAAGTCTGAAGGCTGCTGCTGGTGTATTGGCTGTCTTCCATCAGACTATATGCTCTGCGAGAGGTCAAACATTGCCTCTCTACTCTCCTCTGGATTAACCTCTTAAGGATATCCTCTCAGGCTGCAGTTGATGAATTGTGCTTTCCACAGCTCAGTGGTCTCAGCTACCACTGCAACATTGCACAGTTTTCTGCTGTTGTTGTTATTGCAGTAGATCCTAGATTCATCGTATAGCATTAAATAGTGAAAAGAGGATAATGATGCATTTGTCACAGCATAAATTAATGTATGTGGCTTTTATGTAGGTGCTAATAAAATTATCAGGATTTTAAAATGATTTTTATAAGTTCATTATGGTTGATCAGGGGAAATGTACCAGACCTTACTGGGCAATTAACCTTCTCTTGCGTGTAGCAAACAGTCAAGCTATCATAAGCTTTCATAATGACCCTCCAGACCGTCCCTGTTAGATCTAATTAAACTCATTCACACTTTGTGTCTAGTGGGTAAATCTTATAAAATCTAAAATTGAATGTGGTAATCTTAATTTTACCTTTTCAAAAAAAAGTCCACTGTAACCCAATTATATCAATCCCAGAAGAATACCACATTACTAAAGACTTTGACTCATGGATTGTCCTCCTGTGAAAAATGTGAGCTAAGGTTTAATTTGCTT